CAGGGGGAGGCAGAGGATGTCGATGATGTGATTGACGGCGACTTCAGGGCTTGGCCTCCCGAAGGCGCGGGGAGGGCAGGTGGGTGCAGCCGGCTCGCCAGGAGGCCAGGCCGCGGCAGGCAGGGCTGGCAGGCTGGCACGGCACACTTGCAGGCGACCCAAAGGAGAGGAATCCAAACTGCTGTCCGAGAGACCGGTCCCAGCAGGACTTGCTTAAAGCTTACTCTCCTCTAAGGACTAAGAGTTTAGTGTTTTAAAAATTCTGACAGCCCTAAATCATGGACAGCTGATGTTCTAAAGGATGTCAGCATCTAATTTGACGCCCCCTGCTTTTCAGATGAGAAAACTGAGGCCTCGAGAAATTAAGTGACATGGTCAAAATTGCCCAGTGAGGAGTAGTGGCAGAGGTGCCACTTCTGTGTCATAGGAGGGTATAAAAGGTGTGAGGGATGGACTCCCCGGGCTGCCTGTTCCTGCCGAGCACGTGTAGCCATAACCTTTGTTTCCTTGGGAAAGGGCCCCCTCTCAGCAGGAAAATGGCCAGCTTGCTTCACCCTTGCCAGGCAGGGCCTGTAGGGGATCTACCAAGGCTTTTTCTTTCCAGCCCTTTCACTGCCCTGAAAAATTGCAGTCCAGGTCTGCAGATGAGACTTACCAAAAGTCAGAGAGCTCTGGCTGTGAGGAGAGGTTGAGACTCTCGGACTTGAACCTGAAAACGCTTTTGTAAACCTCTCGCCCCTTCTGCTACAGTCGCTGCTGCTCCAGTGGCCCCCGGCCGCACAGGTGAGAGGTCTGGGACAGACGCTCTGACGCAAATGCTGCAGGGTCCTGGTGTCTCGGGGCGGGGGGCGGTGGGGGTGGCGGAATAAGGGCTTTGCTGCTGTCCCTTGGCAAAGCAATGAACAGTGCGTGGGAGCATCCAGAGATCCCAGGCAAAGGAAAAGGGGCTCCGTTTGGATTGTTCTCCAAAACCCCTGCTACTTAGAAGTGGGATTCCTGGAGCAGGAGGAGGCCCTGGAGCTTGTTGGAAATGCAGACTCTCGGGCCCCACCCAGACCCACCGAGTCAGCATCTGCACTTTAACAAGATCCCCAGGTGAGTCCTGCGCAAGGTGCAATTGGAGCAGCCCTGGGCTGGGTCCCGCCTTCCACCTCCCTCCGTTGCTGGGCCGAGGATATATTATCCAGCAACCTCACCCACCTAAAATGCAGCCAGCAAGCAATGAAGTCCCTCTGGTTCCCCCCAAAACCAGAAGGTGATGTGATAAAGCTCTTTGCTTTATAGGACAAACACTCGGGCTTCTCAAGAAGGGAGACAGCGATCATTGTACTCAAAAAGCAAAGTACCTTTTGCTTAGTGGCCCAACACTCCAAAGGCCCCCAAGGCATTGCTGCTATAAGGCTGTCTGGTATCTGAGGATACTACTGAGTTGGTCCTGAGTGATTCGATAAAAGTTTGTATTCATTATTTTCAGATTCTTAAAGGACGGTTGGGCAATGCTTTGTAGATATTCTTATACAAATGTTAATTAAAAAGTTCTAGTATAGCAAAGTCTTCCAGAAAGTTAATTTGTAGGCAACGGTGTTTCCTTCCCGTGTGATGGCAGATCCAGGAGGCGGCCCTGCGTCTGCACTGACTCTCACCAGGCAGCTGCTGATGGGCGACCCCTCCCTCTTCCCAGCCCCCTCCCCCGCCCAACTCAGTATTTTCAGAGCTTCCTGCTGCTGGCTGATAAAACACACAGGAGTCAAGGGGTTTTTTTTAGACTTTTTTTTTTTTGGTTTGTTTTTAAAGAAACTGCATACATCATCAAAGACAAACAATAATTTAAATACCATGCAGTTTCCGTATGTACAAAACCTAGGCCACAGAGATCCAGTTTCATCTGTGTTCTCTATTTACACTGTCTTCCTCGCACAGCCGCCATCTGTTAAGTTAGAACCCGGGAGAGCAGGGGACTGACGGTCATCACACTCACTCCTATACAGAGACACACTATGTACAGACACCCGGGCGGCGACTGCAAACTGCAACCCGTCAGGGGGAGGTAACAGACAGATGGGGAGAAAAAATCATTTAAGGTGACCTTTGCCCACTGGCTATGTATGCACAGGGAGAGCCTGAAATTCCATTCATCGAAGGAACACACCACGATTTTCATTCGGCAAATATACACACATGTTCGTAAGCGGGAGAAAAATAAACTCGGAGCTTTTTATCACATTTACCATCACACTGTTTGGTTTCTCTAATCTGACATAGAGGCTAAAGTTTTAAAAGTTTTACAGGGCTTTGAGGGCCTTTAGAGATGAATATATCAGCAATTTTGAAAAAGCAAGTAGGCCGCTGGCGGTCTCTTCTGTCGTTGATGGGGACAGGGCACAGGGTGGGGGTGGTGTCTAATTTTGAGAAGGAAACATTTGATTTGAGACATTTCACATTTTTTCCCTCTCACTGTGATGCAAAGGACAAAATGCTCAACTGAGAACTTATACACACAAAGTAAACTGACTTGAAAACTGCAGCTTTTTCAGAAAAAGGATGCATTTTAAGACATCTAGCTCACTTTTTTTTTTCCTCCTAATTAATGTCAAATTGTTATCTTGGAAAGTAACACAAATTGCTTCAGCTGTCATAACGATGTGGCAAAAAAAAAGAAAAATATGGGTAGGTCTCTAGAAAGACCTCAAGGTTTTAAGAAAGGAGAAAGACAACAGAGGTCCCCTCCTACAGGCCACTGAGGTTGCCGAGCCTGTGTAAAGCCACTGAAAACGGGCTTGAAGTAGCCCGTCCCGAAGGTGGGAGACCTTCAGTGGCATGGGAGGTGCACCCCCCACTCTGAGCGAGTGACTTCTGGAAAAGGGTGCCCTGCAGGAAGAGCAGTGGAAACGGTGTTCAACGTCTTCCATGCACAAAGCGGACTGCAACACTGGCGCGCTCTGGGCAGAAACCCTGGGCTGCTGGCTGCTGGCTGCTGGCTGCAGGGAGGTCCGTTCGGGCCTTATATGCCCAGGGAATCCGAAGGGCCCGTGAACCGAGGCCAGCAGAGAAGCCGTGGGCCTTCGGAGGAGGAGTCCAGTCAATGGAATGAGTTGCCTCTGGACTCGCTCCTTGCCATGCCAGGGCACCGCGTGCGCCCGAAGCCCACCCGGCTGCAGTCAGGGGAAGCTCAGACCCCACGCCTGGCCGGGCCGGCACCTCCGCCTGGAACACGTGCCTGCCCGCCTGCTGGAGAGAAGTCAACGAAAGAGCCTCGCATCTTCCGTCATACCATTTGCACATTCAAACGTCAGTAAGCCTTTTGGGAAGACTGTGTTTACAGCCGCACTCACATCCCGACCACATTTTCCCTGAACGATAGATACCTCTCCCCGCGGCAGCAACTATTCAGATTCAACAAAGAAAAATCGAGATCTGGCGATGGCGTCCTCCTCGGGCTGGGCAGAGGCGTGCTGGCTGAGGAAAGCTGGGGCTGCGGGCGCTGCTTAAAGGGCCCCCCTGCTCCCCCGCCCCCCGGAGCTGTCTGGCTCCTGGGCCAGTGCTGGCCGCGCAGCTGTTAATGCCCGAGGGAGATCCCGCGGCCTCCCCATGGGCGTGCATCCTGAGAGTAACTTGCTCCCACGTGGCTCGCGGTGGGGACGGGTTAACTCTTTTGGGGGAGGCTGGCATCTTTCTAAATCCTGGGCATGTGTGGTGGAGACAGCCGTCCCCTGGAAAGGTCAGGGTGGCTCTGGGGCCACTGCACAGGGTCAGCAGGGCTCCGTGGCCGAGGGCCAGCCAGCTCTGTTGGGAAGGAAACAAAAGCCACCAGGGGCCTCGTGAGGGTGCTCGTTGGGGTTTCGGAGGGTCCTCCCCTCGCTGCACACCCTGCTCTCGGGGCCCTGTCAACAGAGTGTGGGACAGGTGGAGACAATCTCCAGCCACCCTCACTGGCATCAGAGAGGAGGGATTCATTGCCTCTGGATAAACTGGAGCGGAAGGGCACCCCTCGGGCAGGCGTGGCTGGTGGTGGCCCGATGCTGGCACCTGCTGAACTCTGGGGCTCCTCCACAGAAACGCTTCGGTGCAAAGAAAGGAGAATAGCAGGCCATCGATGGTTCTGGAGTACCAGGCCCTGCGTGGCTGGGAAGCTAGACTCAGGAATGGTTTCTGGCCTGCATGCATTGGTCCTATACTCAGAAGCCATCCACTCCCAAGCCACACACTCCCTGGCCCTGGGGCACACAGGAAATGTGACAAAATCAGCAAGCAGTTTCTGACCTCCGCTGTTACCCTCAACAGGGTCCTGCCGCTCAGGCTTACAAACACCACGGGGTACCCGAGCAATGGCCGTCTGTGCACACAGATCGCCTGTGACATGCGGTTCTCTGGACACAGATGGGCCGATGCATTTGAACTGAGCCGGTGACAACCTTCCCCTTCTAAACCAGAGCTTCCTGGAAGGCAGCTCAGCTCAGCGCCAGCCTTCTCCGCCTACAGCACACCCGCTCTGAGGACCAACAGGCACTCGGATCCCCCCCGCCCCCCAGAAAAGGGTCCTTCCCTTTGCCCCCCATGTGGGTGGGGGCAGACGGGAGGGAAGGCCAGAGAGGCTGAGAAGGGCCCCCAAACCAGATGCCATGTCTGGAGTCAGGACACTGGGCCAAGTCTACAAGGCCCCCCAGACCATAGCTTCCTTTGCACAGCGCCCCCACCAGGCTAACCCGCCCTCTCAGCTTTCTTTGGACTCAGGTGATAGACACTTGTAAGGAAGAGGTTTTTGGTGCCTGCCGGGCCTGGCTGGAGAGGACCGGGACCGCTCCGCCTGCCGGAAAGTCTTCAGCCAGGGCCCTGCTGCTGCGGGTGCCTTCGGCCCTGCCGGGGGCGGGGCGCGTTTCGGTGTCAGAAGTGGGGCCAGCAGCTCTGATCGCCGAGCGGTCACCTTCGCCTTTTCGCACATAGAATCCTGATTGTGTTTCCTTATATTTTTCTTCTTCTTCTTTTAAAAAAAAGGCAGTTCAGAAGGTTTACATCGTAATGGGGAAGTGAATAAATACCAGCACTTATGGTTCTTATAAATTTATGTTTTGAAGACAGCATAGCACTCAAGAGGAATTCGACTGTTAAGGTCGGTGGAACCTAGGGAGACAAGCGATTAAATCAAGACTGAGGGGCTGCCAAGAGTGTGGGACTCAACAGTACAACCTGCCCGTCCTCAGAGTCCCTGATCCTGACAGCCACAGGGAGCTGCGACCCTCCCGCCAAAGGCACATCCCCACCGTGGCTCCCCCAGTTCTACCTCTGGTTTTGGCACAGTTTCATCTGGAGCCCCTGGGGGTCAAACCAGGTGGCCCTGGTGGCCTCCAGCCTGTGCCATCAACCTGGATTCAGCAGCAGCAAGGCGGGGAACCCAGTCTCATGTCTCTGAATCCAGGCTCTAAAGACCCAGTAAGTGCTGCTTCTCTAAATGTTCGCCAAAGGGGAAAGTTGTGAGAATTAGGTCGATGGCTCTGTTGCTAACTAGCCACGTGACCTCACACAAGTCCCATAATCGCTCTGTGCCTCCAGTTTCCCCAAATTATTATCACCCAGGACTGTCAGGGAGATTGGTAGGGAATCACTGAAGTGAACCCACTTTGGGTTCACTTCGTGTTCCATGTGGATTTGGTATTTTGCCCAGGTTTGGTCTTTGTTGACTGGTTGTAAATTGGCAACAATCTTTTCTCCTTGGCTTAAGTTTTCATAAAACCCACGCTGGGGTTATTGGTAAGTACGCCACTTTTCAGATCTTTAGTTTTAAATGAATTAGAAACCAGGCTTGCAGAAGGTGGCTTTTAGCCTGGGCTTTCAGTTTCTGCAACCTGAAGTGCAACTTCCTGTCGATCTTTCTTTTATCTTCTCCCCCACCGCACCACCAAACCACTTGTGACCCACGGCAGACAGGACAGTTTTGTTTGGAGGTAAATATTGCAATTTGAGGTGGAAAACAACAACAACAACAACTGCTTGATACTAACCTTGTTAAGTGTCTACTCAATTCATGAACTTCCATTTCAGTGCTTTTAAATTCATTGAGCTCCTTTCGAATGGCAGCCTGGAATACAGAGAACCCCATAAGTATGCACAAGGGAAAGACAGAAAAGAGCTTCCTTTTTATTTCATTTCTAACGATTTTTTTTTTCTTCAACAAAGCCAAACAAGTTTAAAATGGATTCCTTCATTGGGAGGACAAAAAAAAAAAAAAATCACCTGAGCTGTGTGTGTGAACTAAGATTCTCTAAGTCTAAATTGCAAACGGTGACAGGATCTGGTCCAACGTGACTTTTTCTTCCTCTTCTCAGTGCTGATCCACAGTGTGTGCACACGTATCCCCACTCCTGGGGGCCCACCAAGGACACCCTCAAGTGTCAACCCGTCATCTTCCTTGGGTGCTCGGGCTAAGCCTGTGCTCAGCACAGGTACAGCCATGCCTCAACACGGATACTTCTAGAAGGGGTGGATCAAATTCCCCAACCAAAGTGAAGGAACAGAGGACAGCGAGCTCCACCCCCTTTCCGTTTGCCTTTGTTCTTTTACAACTTTGCTGACTTTGCGATGAGACAGTTCACCATCTGGGACGTGTCTTTGCATAACCTCGCACGTTCTCAGATCCGTCCTTGAGACACTGCCCACAGACGTGCCTGTGCCGAGGGGCAGGGCTGGGAAACCGGACAGCGCAGGGAGGTGGTGAGGAAGCAGGGGAGAGGGGGGACCTGCAGAGAAGAAAGCTGGGGCTGGAGACAGCCTCACTCCTTCCTTTCGGGGCGGAACCTGCAAGCACACACCCTCGTGCTCAGCTCCGTCTGCAGTGGGTATCTGCTCTGCTGGGAATGTGAAGGCTCCGGGAGTTTGATGACAGAAAAGTGTTCAGGTAGGATCAGAGTGGCTCTCCCCAGGAATGGAGGGCTGGCTGGGGTTTAAGTGTCTGGTTATCTGCTTTGGGGGGAGTGGGGAGTGCCACTTCCTAGTCTCCTGTCCCTCCAACAGCCATTGAGGCACTGGATACGTTTTCTGCCTAAGAGCTACACAGAACTCGATGCAAGTGGAGACGTTTTGCGGTTTCCTTGCACACCTGATACCCTCATCCTTGCAAGCGCACTGCAGTGAGAGCACGAACAAAAGACAACAGGAGCCCAGAGCTCTGCCTCCTTTTGTATTTAGAAGACACACTTCTGGGGCTGGGCTTGTCTGCCTGCCTTGTGCATGCTGGTGCCAGTTCCTGGGGTCGCTCCCCACAATTCCTGTACAGGAAAGCTGTGAACGCTATGTTGACAGAGGAGGGCACAGTCTTCCGTGTATTGTGATCTACCATGGGAGAGCCCATTTCTGGGAGAGGTCTATGTGCCTCTGGCCACTTCAGCCCACCCAAGCGTGGCAATGTCCCTGCACGTGTGTTCCTGCAATTCCTCGATCCGGGGTGGGTGGGGATTCAGCCAGTCTGGGCTGCAGATGACTTCCTGCTGCATCGTGTGTAAGGAAACCACTGGCTCCTGAAACGGATGGGGTGAAGGCGGGACTCTTCAGGAGAAGGTCCTGGTGCACCCCGTGGTTCCTGCTGTCCTGCGCACATCGGACATGATCGTTATTCTAGACTGGACTTTCAAGAAGGCCCTTTGCCCTCCAGTTCCCCACGGTGACTGGGCTGGGAGCAGGAAGGACCAATCAACAGAGGTCCATTTCCATACATGGTCTAAGAGATAAGAACGATTTCTCATGTGCCTCACTGCATGTCTTAAAAAACAAACTCGACTTCAGAATATTATCATTATTCTGCTTTCTAAATTGAGGAGGGGCCAGTACGGTGAGATAGGCTTTGTGACATCTCTGTGACTGGTGCCTATTCCTTTCCTTAGGTTACGAGACAGGCGAGCACAGCCCCTTTGTCTTCTTTGGAGTTTGTGAATCCCTGTGGGGTGCCAACGACAGTGTCCCCTACCCAGAAGGTCTGTGACAAGCTTGGAGCCTGGAGCTCTGGGACTGCGTGCACCTGTTGCAGAGCTACTCTGTTCCTCCGGGCACAGCCTCTGCGGCTGCCCTTCCTCCTCCTGTAAAGGGGGGCAGTACTATCCGTCTCGGGCCTTCTCGGATTCGGGCCTCTCTGCAGATTCCGGGAGCCCTTGGGAAAGGAGCTGGGGTGGCAGCACTGCCAGCAGTGGGCTCGTCACTGTCCTCCACGGGGACCGCAGCTGAGGACTTGCTGCCGCGTGAGGCCAGGGTCTCCCAGCTCCGGGCGCTGCCCGCCCCTCCCTGGGCCCCACTTACTTTGTCAGCAGCGGTGAGGCGGGTCCACGGCTTGTCGGCCCTGCGGTCATAGTCCTGAGCGTCTGCCACCTCCACGTAGTCGCTGAAGCGGATGAGGATCTTCCTCTCCCGGAGCTCTTCCACCGTGGGCCTCTGACTGAGCTGCGGGGAGGGAGCGAGACGGGCCGGTCAACAGAGGGGCTTCGATCTGTCAGCGAATGTGCAGGTATGGACATAAGGTCCAGGGAGGCAACCGGCACATCACGCAGCGTGTGACTGCTGGAACTGGGACCTGTCCCGAACTCTAAGAGAGCTTTGTCATGCCTTCCGCCCCCTCCGGCCTGTGTGGACAGACAGCCCCGGCCTTTATGGCACGGCCCTGTCTCCGTCTGACCAGAGGCTTGTCTCTCTGTAGTGCTCCCTGTGGGTTTTTCGGGGTCTGTCCTACTCCCAGCAAGGAACGGGAACCTTATACAATGATTTTTGCCTTATTTTGTCCACGTCTGCATGTCACATTTTGTGCTCTCTGCAAGGTGGGCTTGTCATGCATTTTGTGTGTATGTTTCAAACACAGAAAAGTGCGCATGCAAACAGCACGCAAAGTCTAGGGTATGCAGGGATGGGATGTGTTGATTTGTGAGGTCAGGACAGATGCCTCCTCAACAAGTTCAAGGGAAAGGTCAGTCAACAAACATGAGCTGAGTAAGTACAGGGCAAGGCCACGTGTCTGTCAAGGAAGACTCGGAATCAGCCCTTTGGTGGCTCTGTGGTCCAGGACTGTGGGGTGAAACAGGCTGAAGAAGGGCTTATATTTATTTTTCCATCTCCTGAAGTCACCCAGGAGCACCCTGGCTCTGTGCGTGAACAACATAAGCCCGGCATTTCTATTATCTCTCCCTGTCACCCACCAGGTTCATTGTTGCTGGAGCAACACTGTGGCTCTCTCTAGGGTGCTGTCAATTCATGTTCAACCAATGTTATTTAAAAGCAGTTTTCACTCCAAACCCCACACTAGGTTTAATTCTATTAATAGAAGGTGTAGTCAGACTCAGGCTATAAAATAAACACACACAAGTGAGTCCAGTCCACCCTGGCTGTTTGCCTCTGTATCATGCAGCTGCCAGACACCCTTGGCTGGTGCTAGAATGTCTCAGCTTGTTATCCTCCTGGCAGAGCATGATTAGATGACGTTGGCTGGTATCAGAGTGGTCCTGGGTACTGTCAGGCCCTGGACAGGACCAAGGCAGGCCTACAGCACCCCCTTGACCAAGAGTGAGAGAAGACCTAGGGATCAGAGGCTTAGTGGGCCGCAGTACCAGTCCACTTGCCTAGACTGCATGCAGTTCCCTCCTTTCAATGGTTCCAGTCTGTCCTGGGGCAGCCTTGGTTTTCCCAGGGCAGAACATTCTGGCACTAGTGCAGGCCTGTTGCAGGAAACCACAGGTTTCCCAGGCTGTGTGGCTGGAGGTGCCTTAAACAAAAGGGTGGTCATCCTGACTCCAAAGGTGTTCTCCAAACTGTGAGTGCAGGGAGATTTTGTACTATAATTAAAATATGTAACCACATTTAACGTTACCATATTTATGCCAAATAAACAGACTCCCACATTCCTCCTCTCCAGTTTGTGTCCCTCAGGACTAGCAGGGCTTATCCCAGGGTGCTGATCAAAGAGTATCACTTTCTAAGTGTGCTAGGATGTCCAGCAAGGTTGCTAAGCCCTGACTTTCAAATTTCTTTTCCTGTAAATCATGAACTGGATTTTACGAATAGCCTGTCTATGGCAGAGTCTGGAGAGCACAGAAAACTAAATGTGAGCTCTGAAGGTCAGGGACTGTTTTTCATGCCTGAACCCCAGTGGGGCCGTAGACACCAAGTCTGCAAACCAAGGAGGCACTGTGCCCCACTGCTCATAAGGACTGAGTGGGGACAGAAGTGGCTGCTGCTCCTGGAGTCTTAGGTGGTATGTGGACCCTGACACTGACAGACGGCCACCAGGACCCTCCACTGTGAGCCAGGGCTTGTCCCCGACTACATGGGGCTCAGAAGATGTGCCTTTGGCACAGGGCTGGCTGTAACCCTTAAGGTGCCTGGAACCTGAGGTTCTTCCTTGGATGCTGCAAAACTAATCTTTGCAGCCAAGGTCAGGTTCTTGGGATGATGGGCTGGAAGACGGGGTAGTAGCATTTGCATTGGTCATTTGCATTGCATTGCATAGCATTTGCATTGCAGCAATAGCATATGCAACCCAATACTTAAGAAAAAGAGTAAATTCATTGAGACCCAAATTCTATTAACATAACCTGAACCCAAGTGCATTTCCTTCCTTCCTCCCATCTGTGTATCCATCCATCACCCAACCATTTCTCTTGCTAGCATTTTTTTATTAATAGAAAAGGAGAGGAAGACATGTTTTTAATAGACAAAGCTCATAACTTTTAGATTAGTCTCAATTTGGCTGAAGAAAATGCCTGGTCTGTTGCTATCAGCCTCAGCTACTATGTTTTATTTTTTATTTTTCTCACTAGTGCATTAAAATGAAATGGAACTTTATTAAGGAAATCTTTGGGCTGAGGATAAGTAACTGAAAAGCAGCCATGGTCCCTGGCATCTGGTCTTGGTGCGATAAAGACTCCAGAGGAGAAAAACTTGCCCAGGGCCAGTAAGTGACACGGATTTCCTACCTGACGGCAGCACAGCTTCTCTGCCAACGAAAACAGATGTTCTTCCAGTCCCTCCCTTAGAAGCAGGTATGCCTCTGCTGAAGCTCACTATTCCAAATTCCCTAAGCCAGTCCCCACAGGAAGGCAATGCTAACATTCCAAGCCCATTTCCCTGGGAGAAGGAAGGAGAGGCGGCCAAGGGAAAAGAGGCAATTATCTTATCTTGGGGACCTGAAAAACTAGAGGTAACTTTCTCTAGTGTTACCCACCCTAGGGAGAATGTGGTGTAGGAAGAAACCCTCTTCCCTCGCCCACTGCCAAATGATGCAATCAGTCAAAGTTTTCTCTGCAAAATCATATAAATTTTTTAGAGAGATAAGAATTAAATAAATGTCTAAGCATTTTTCTATGACTACCTTTTAGCAAGCAACCTTAAAGTTTTAGACAATTTTGGGGTTCTTGCAACCTACTCTAAAGAACTTGATGAAAATCCGATTTAAACATTTTTTTTTATGACTGTCTAGACCTCCTGTATGAGAAATGAGGGGTTATTGCCAGTGTCTTTTTCTTTCTTTTTTTCTAATTAAAAAAAATTCTTTCTTAGAGACAAGAGTCTCACCATGTTACCCAGGCTGGAGTGCAGTGGCATCATCATAGCTCATTGCAACCTCAAATTCCTGGGCTCAAGAGATCCTCCTGCCTCAGCCTCCTAAGTGCCTGGGACTATCACAGTGTCTTTTTCATATCCCAGTCACTTCAAGGACACAATCACAACAAGCACATGCACCTCCCCCACCCTTCTCACTACCCAGTCTCGGGAAGAAATGCACCCTGCATCCAAAACTAGGTGGGCTTAAGGATGTCAAGGCTCAGACCATGCTTGGGATAAGAGCAACTGGCCTGTGAGGTCACTGAGGGTGATGACAGCCAGTCACCTGACTGTCAGGTACTTGTTTATCTTACTCCTTTTAATTGGGTTGGCATTTGGCTTGTCACCAGGTGTTTGGGATGCTCTTAGGGAGAGAAAGTGTTGAGAAATACAAATCATCACCATAATAATCGGTATGATATTTCAGGATCTCTGAATTTCTTTTTTTTGTGTGTAATATTTCTAGGGAGAAAAATCCATTAATAAACCTTTTAAAAATTAATTCTAATGGGTCTCTTAACTGTCTCTATGATTTGAGTATCTTTCTTTCAAGATGGTCACTGTAGGAGGCTGATTAAAAACACTTTGACTTAGACAGGAGATGGTATTTTATCTTGTGTGTCATCAATTAATTAAACTTTTCAACATCATCCAAGAATAGCCTCGATTATGAGTTTATTATTAAAGAGGTCACTCACGTAGAATGAGATGCATGTGGGTCTATATTGCATTGCTGAACCATCCATTTTGGGGGTTAAAAATATATAAAAATTCTAGCTTTATGACTTTTATCTATGTGCTTTTCAAACATCTTCATTAAATTTACCAGTACTTTTGGCTTTTTCCTAATTCAGTAATTCCAATGGGATTTAGCATAACAAAGTTGAACAGTTCTTAATTAATAAAGAACAGGATCAAGGGGCACAATGAATAGTTGTGTTATATTTGAACTATCAATTTTGATAATGAGTTTCTGATTGCTTGGTAGTTGTAGCGAATTTTTTTTTTTAAAACAAAATATTTAGTGTAATTGAAAATATAATGCAATGGCCATCAAGTTGTTTAGGGGTGAGTGAGTGTCAAAAAAAATCAAATCAAAAAAATCAAGGTGAGTGTCAAAAAAATCAAGCAACAACTGAATGTCACCAGCCAAAGGGAGTGAGAGTCATGAACATGGACTGGTCACTGTCCCCTAGAGAAGTTTTGTGCAGTAAGAGAGCTGTGCCTTCTGACACCCAAGGTGTGGCACCCCTGGGCCAGGCAGCTGTGAGGCCACCGAGGCCAGAAGAGGGCCAAGGAGTGGCAGGTAGCCCACCCCTCCTGCCCGCTCTTGCGTGGAGAACCATCTCACCTTTCGGGTTAGCCTCCTCTTGATCTCTCTCTTCTCCTCTTGTTCCTCTTGTTCATTCCGAGCTGAAAGACATATTTAAGATGCTTTTGATTTCGGCCAACAGTGTTTGTTGTATACAGGTGCATTCTCTGAAGCTTGGAAAGCTCCAGGCCAAGCACCTCAGTTTGGAAAGGGGAAGAGGGAACTCCTGTCCCCTTCCCCAGCCACCTTCTGCACATGGGCATGCTTTCCAAACTCCCTGCGGCGTTTCAAGTCACCGATGAGCAGGCTGACCTTGCCGTCTTATTTTCTTTATGCCACCTGGAGTTTCGAGTCTCCAGGCAGAGATGCTGGGCTGAGAAATGTGGCCACAAGGCAAGAGGGTGGGTTTTAAAAGGGGGGGGTGTATCCAAGTTTTCTTTGGATAAGACTTGGGGTTCACTCACTCCCCTTTGAGCCTCCCCAGACACTGAAAGGGGCTCATTGTGATGCGACCCTCTGTCTGATGTGCTGCGGGGTAGAATCTGACACCGGCCCCCACCTGCTGCAGGAACCAGCCCAAGGCTGGCCACACTGAGAGGAATTGCAAAACGCTCACCTTTCACAAGCCCTGATTCCATGAATTCTTTGAATCTTCCAAGAAGTCCATAGACCACGTGTGAGCCCAGCGCGTGGGGTACAATTGTCTGCATTTAGTCTTTTAGGGAGTGTCTTAGGAGAGTAGACTTCAGAGCCTAAATGTTCTTGGCTTAGTGTGTGGGTGACTTACTCATCAGATTGTTAAAGAGCCGTAGGTAAGAGAACAGAGGTGTGAAGGACAGAGAATTTGGGCTTAACTTTCCTTTTAAGCTAACAGAATGACTCTGGGTAGACCATGTCCTTTCTGGTCCCTGGAAGGATTCCTTGATATCTGTGGAAACACAGACACTGGCATAGGATTGATGGACTTAAAAAAAAAATCGTGAAAGTCAACTAGTGTCAAAGAAGGCCTGTGATTCCATCTGTTGAATTTCAAATGGCATTAGTAAAAGGAAACTGCAGGTTGATTTTGGCATAGGGTACATTAAGACTGCCCAGGGGGCTTATTCTCTCCTTTTAAAATGACACTTGTTAAGTTACATTTCGATAACTTATTTGTTGTATTGATGTACCCCTGCAATTCAGTGGTGCCCCCCCCCCCCCCCCGTTGTCTCAGTATGGGACAGGTCTTTAAAAGAGGCAAACGCCGCCTGTGCATAGCAATGGGGTGGGGGCTGCCTGACAAACTGTCACCCCCTCCCCTCCTTGCCAGCCCTGAGGGCAGCAACCACAGCCACAGCCAACCCAGGCTTAGGGTGACAACACCTCTCAACAAAAGATGCCTGTGTCCTGCTGCAGGATGGTCTCGCCTGCTCCGTCCCTGGTGCCTGAACCCTCCACTGTGACAGTGCCTTCCTCTGGATTTAGAAATCTTAGCTCTCCGCCCCCCCGGGGTTTTCTTTAAAAATGCAAATTTCTCTTGGATAAAAATCCATTGAATTAGTCAGCCATTAACAATTCAGTATGAATTAATCTCTCTGAGATAAATTGGGAGGCAGACAGCAAGACCCGGAAGAAGGGAGACCCCAGACAGCAACATCTGTAAAAATGTAAATCTCTCTGGGATAAAACCTATTACACTAGTCAGCCATTAATATTTAGTGAGAATCAATCTATTAGTGAATAAATTGGGAGGCAGACAGCAAGAACTGGAAGAAGGGAGCCCCTCCCTCCCCCATCAGCGACATTTGCAGGTGGGAGAAAGCAGGGCAGGAAGGGCAGGCTGGACGTGTATGCCCGGGAGGCAGCCAGAGGGCACTTGGTTAAGAGTTACAGAAGCATAGAATATTAGGGCCACGAGCAGCCTTAGAGACCTCCTAGTCTACCACTCTGGGTTTACAAACCAGGATGTGAAAACCCAGGGGAGTTAAGTGACTAGTCACACCCTCCAGCTGCCTTTTCCTGCTGTCACATTTTGGGGCCGGTGCTCCTTCTCGTGACAGGTGACTGGCTTCAGACTCCTGACCCTGAACCACGAAGGTAGGCATTCTGTGACACAGCTGACAAGCATGAGGCATGGAGCCTTCATACCCTGTGTGCATTTCTTGGGTTTCTCTGAGGGGCGGCCACAAGCTACTAGCTATGGAATCTATACCTCTAGTTCAAAGCTATTTACAAACCCAGTGTCATGAATTCTCAGGCAGAGGGTACCAAGACAACCCTATACGGCAACTGCAAAGAGAGGACAGGAAAGGCCCATGATGTCATCAGTCCAGCTGCCACCATCAGAGTGTGTTCATTATGTGCTCAGACGTGCACAGGGTCAGGCAGGGCGGGGCTGGAGCCCAAACCTGGACTCTCAAAGCTCCACTGCTGAGCTGTGACCCCCAGACTGAGGGGTTCCTCACATGATTCAAAGCCCAGACGGGGGTGGGGGGTGAAGGGGGGGTAAACCCACAGCTAATGGAAAAGGGGCACACTGTATGGGGGAAGGGCACACTTGTACCCCTGGCATGGGTGAGGCAAATGCGTTTTATGTAACCAAAATGTTTGTACCCCCATAATATCCTGAATTAAAGAAAAATAAATAAATAAATCCCAGAAAATAGGTTTTAGAACAAATTATTTGAAGATGTTTTCTTACATCACTAGGTATTTCTTGTTTAACAATCAAAATAGATTAAATTTAAAAAAAGGCAAAAAGAAAACATTCAGGAGAACAGTTCCAGAATACAGGGAAAAATAAGTACCTATGGGAATAACAAGTTCATTTCTCAAAAGTTTTCAAACTATGAAACGATCAACCTGTTTGAATTCAGTCAAACAGCCCTTTAGTTTGCAATGATTTGACCAGGACAAGAAGGAAGAGGGAATCGAATAAAAGAAAACCATGGAAACAACCTTTTTCTCCCTTCTTTTTTTTTGGGGGGGGGGCAGAGTCTTGCTCTGTGGCCCTGGCTAGAGTTCAGGGACATCATTGTAGCTCACAGCAACCTCAAACTCCTAGGCTCAAGCCATCCTCCTGCCTTAGCCTCTCCAGAATCTGGGACTACAGGTGCACCACCACGTCCAGCTAATTTTTCTATTTTTTGTAGAGACGGGGTCTTGCTCTTGCTCAGGCTGGTCTTAAACTCCTGACTCAAGCTCCCAGAGTGCTAGGATTACAGGCGTGAGCCACCATACTCCACCTGGAAACAATCTTTTATAACCTCCTTTTGGCCTCCTGAATCTAAGCCCTCAGGCTTAAATGTCAGTAAAAACCAGGCACAGGGATCTGCTTGAAATCTCCAGGGGATCTGGGCAAACTAGGGATGGGAGCTGCAGCCTTCAGGAAGCCAGAAGTTAGCTGGGGGATTTTAGGCCTCTTTCCAGAAACCTGACCCATGCTGTTTGAGATATGCACTATTTTCTGAAACCTGAATAATCCTCCAGAGGTTTAGGCCTCAGCCGGAGCCCACAAGTATAGTAGCATCCAGAGAGTAAACTGCCCTCAGAGGACCACTGATGCACCTTAGCTGTGCATGTGGGTGATGCATATGGGGTGATGCACATGGGGTGATGCATGTGGAATGATGCATGTGGGATGATGCATGTGGGGTGATGCATGTAGGGTGATGGATGTGGGGAGATGCATGTGGGAAGATGCATGTGGGGTGATGCACGTGAGGAGATGCATGTGGGGTGATGCATGTGGGGTGATGCATGTGGTGATGCACTTTAGCTGTGCACATGGGGTGATGCATCGGGGTGATGCATGTGGGTGATGCATGCGGGGTGATGTATATGGGGTGATGCATGTGGGGTGATGCATGTGGGTGATGCACCTTAGCTGTGCACATGGGGTGATGCATGTGGGGAGATGCATGTGGGGAGGTGGATGTGGGGTGATGCATGTGGGGAGATGCATGTGGGGAGATGCATGTGAGGTGGGGGTGGATGTGTGGGTGATGCATGTGAGGATGCATGTGAGGTGATGGATGTGGGGTGATGCATGTGAGGTGATGCATGTGAGGTGATGCATGTGGAATGATGCATGTGGTGATGCATGTGTGAGTGATGCATGGTGGGGTGAGCTATAGATGATGTCCATGTGTGGAGGTGTGCACATGGTTGGATGCATGTAGGGTGCATGCATGTGCGGGAGATCATGTCTGGGTGATACATGTGGGAGATGCATGTGGGAAAGATGTATGTCGGTGGATGCATGTGGGAGATGCATGTTGTGATGGATTGTGGGGTGAATGCATGATGCGGGTGATGCATGTGGGTGATGCATGTGGGGTGATTGCATGTGGGGTGATGCAGTGTGGGTGATGCATGTGAGGTGATGCATGTGGGGGAGATAGATGGAGGTTGTATGCATGTGGGAAGATGCATGTGGGTGATGGCACGTGGTGATGCATGGGTGTACATGTGGAGATGATGTGGGG